ACGCCATTCCCAGTTCTCAACTTCACCTCTGCAAACAAATATTCATCACTAAGAACAACCCAAAACAATAACACAACTATTTAAAATGCGGATTGAAAACCGAACAAGGAATTGAAATACGAACTGAAAACGAATAACAAAAGAGCAGCTACAGAAGACAGTAGAGAAAAATCGTAGAGGGTTTCAAATGGGTATTCGATTACACTTCATAATTCACTACAAAGAATGCAAAAAAGTTGGAAAAATGACCAATAAATCAGATATTGGAACTTGGCTGAGAGGAAGAAACTTACAAAGCAAGTCTTGCAGGAAAAGCAAAAGGCCACCGTCTGTTTTGTCTTTTCCAAATTCCAATTTGTGGCCCCCCATTGCCAAAAGTGAAGTTCCAAACGCTGCTGCTCACGCCCTAATCATGGCTTTTCAGGTTGAAAAACACGTCAATAGTCAAGTGATGCTCTCTGATCGAAAAAGATAAAAAGATTCAGTCCTTAAAAGTTTAATATTGAAAGATTTGACCTTCGAAATTTAGAGATAAGCATGAAGGTTTTAAATATAGATGTAAATGTGAAATTGAAATTATATATTTAAATTAACAAATAAATATTTTTTTCTAAATAAACTAAAAATAATTAATATTAATATTATGTATATATTAGTGACATTTTATTGATATTTTTCATATTTTGTCAATTTTTTTTAATGTAATGGAAATGTCGATTTACCCCATGTCGATATCAAATCCATAAAAATCGATGAAAATGTCGACGTGTCAATAAATATTTTAAATATATATTACATATGCTTTGTAACATTGAAAAATAGACTATTTATTTCTTAGACAACTTACAGTATTATTAATCATATTAATCATTTGAAGTTACTRATGATGATGTTGAGTATAAAATTATATTGCATATCACAAGTTATAAAACAAAATTGACCATGATGTTTAATAGAGTATATATTGAATAAGTATTATAGTATATATAGTATAATCTTCTCAATCTATGACAATGTTTTATACTAACCATAATTTATTCACTTTTTTGTAAGCATATAATTTGAAAAAAAATGATGATTCTAGTACATAAGAATGGAAAATTATGATGATTAGGAATGGATTGACAGAAGCAATTGAGCTTGGCTTCTTTAATTTAGAGGTGGAGTCGGATTCTCTTCAGATGATCATGAAGATTAAGAACCTCAGCCTGACGATTCAAAGTTCAGTTGTTTAGTGAAAGAGATTGTTGTTGTTACGTTGTTCCTAAAATTTGCGAGCTTTTCTTATTGTCCTCGATCTTGCAATAGAGTTGCTCATGAATTAGTAAGGATGGCTGTGGATGACGAAGTTTATGGAGTGTAGATGACTGTCGGACGCTTGGGGCCTGATTTTTAGTTTCTTTCGTGTTTTGTTGTTAAAAAAGAAAGAAGGGAAAATGTAATATATTGATGTTATTTTAAGTATATTAAATCTATTTTCAATGGCCGGATGAGATCGGGAGATTTTTTTTATTGTCAATCAAAATAACAGTCGAAATTTCTGACGGAGGGCAATAGGGAGAAAAATAATTAAATAGGGATTTTTTTCCTATTTCAAAGGAAAAAATAATAATCGGAGAGATGAGGTAGAAAATGAACAAGGAAATGATTACTTGGAGAGTGAAAAAAGAAAGAAATAAAAGGAAATAAATCATTAATTGGAGAGAAAGTGGAGAGAGAAGGAAAATTACTCCTAGAAGAAAAAGCATTAATTGGAGAAAGAATAATAAATGAAAAAGATTGAAAGACATAAAGTAGAGAATATCAACCACCTCAATTTTAAAGAGTGGTCATAATTCTTGTCCCGGATCTCGATCGGAAGATTTCATACATTTTTTAATTGGATGTGTGGATATTGGACATATAAGTCAATTATCGTTAAACTGTATTCCATAAGAATAGGAATTTTGTCCTACATTAAATACCTATTTCTGCTACTATTACAAAATTGATAATTCATTTTTCTTTTTTAAAATTTTTATTTGTACATTCTTTCTTCTTAATTGTTAAATATTTAACTAACCAAGAAGCCAAGTATTTCTGTAAAATACAGTTAAAATTCAGTTGAAATATGACAATAATTTTTTTTATGTAATTCAAGATTTAAAAACGTTTATATATATTTATTTCTAGATTTTATTTTGATAAAGATAAATCTCTAAAACCTCTTTTAAAATTTTTTAATTCAAGATTTAAAAACATTYACATAAGATTTATCCATACTCTTGTAATAAATTGTTCACTGCATCATTGTATTGAATATTCGTTGACACGTCAACATTTCTATCGACATGTCTATGCATCTATGTATGCGACAGTAAATCGACATTAATATCAACAAAATATCACTAATATATACCTAATATTAATATTAATTATTTTTAACCTATTTAAAAATAGAAAAATGTTTACTTATTAATTCAAATATTTTACGATTTTTTTATTTCTCTAATTTTTACAAAAATATTTATGACGTTTTAATTGAGGTTTCTACGTTTAAATTAGGGTGATCATCGGTCGGTCGGTGTCCGTTTTTGGACAAAACCAATCATGTCGGTTTCGGTCGGTCGAAAAACATTTTTTTTTTACCTCCGTAAAAATCGACCGTCAACTGGCAGTTCGATCAGTCGGTTTTGGTGGATTTTTGATAGATACCAACTTCCATAATAAAAGCCATTTTGATGGTGTTTCTGTGACTAAAATACATAGGTGCAGTGGACATGGTATGAAAAGAGAGAATAAGGGGAAGGATGAAGACGGAAGAAGAAACAAAGGTCGAGAGAAAATGGAGACAAGTGGAAAAGTGGGAGGAAAGAGAAATTAAAAAGATAAGAAAAAGTTAGTGGGTCTAAGAAAGTACCGCGTAGGTGGAGTTGGAAAATGTATAAAATATAAAATATAATAATAAATAAAAGACAAAGTAGGTAAATAAATATATGTGTGGGGGAGATTCACGTCAAAATTTTGATTTTTTTTTTCCTTTTTTTCATTTTCAATATTTCTATTTCTCTCTCTCTTTTTCCCCACCCTCTCCCTCTCTTGTTCTTCTCCTTTAGTTCTCCATCTTTCTTTCTCTGTTTTTTCTCTTTTAGTATCTACATTTTTCTTCTATCCTCCATTACATTACACTCTTAGTTATTGTTCTTTTTCTAAGTTTTCTTGTAGTTCTTCCTAGACTCGTGAGGGAGACTTTTTTTTTTAAATAAGTCGGAGTCGACCGATCGATTCATCTAGAAAACCGACCGACCGACGTCGGTTCGATCGGTTTTGATTAGTCAGATCAATTTTTCGACCTTGCTTGCTCACCTCACCTCTAGTTTAAATGAAGGTGACAAAATCTCCCAAACAAGAAGGTGGGACAAAGGACCAATCAATTAGATATTGGAGCTTGGAGACCAAGAAACTTACCGAGCAAGTCCAGGAAAAGCAAAAGGGCACTCTCCGTCCTTTTCCAAATTCCTTTATGTGGGCCCCTTGTCAAAAGAAGTACCCAAACACTGATGCTCACGTCTTATTGATGGCTATTCATAACAATAGTGGTTGGAGAATACACTGTGGCTGTTAAAAGCAAAAGAGTTGCCAGAAGTGGAGTTTGGGAAATTTGAATATACGATCCTCCGTTGATCACTTTGGATTTATGATCCAGTTTTTAAAAAAACTAATCTGTGACCCCATTTTCTTTATTTATTTTACCTCTTTCAAAATTTTTAAATGTAAAATTACACAATCCCTCCTCTTAATTATTAAAAAGAAAAACAAATTTATTTTCCATCTTTATTCCCTCTATAAATCTCAAACAATAATCCATTACGAACTTAAAAAATCTAACTTTTAACATGAAAAATCAATTACGAATTGAAAAATATCTACCCAAAAATAGTTAATTATAAAATTAATATGAAAAAAATATATTCAAGAAAAAGTTGAAATTAAAAAATGGAATATTAAATATTTAATTGTGTAATATGGAAAATTGAATGTACATAATTAAATCTCAAAATTTGTCCAGATTTAATTAAAAAAGGTTAACATTCCATAAATCTCGGATATTAAATTCTCCAAGATTTAATTGACAAAAAGAAGGCAAGAGAACACGAATAAGGGAGGAAAAAAGAAAAAATAACAAAAAAAAAAAGTCTGCGTGGATCCCGGACCAAGATGATATTAAAAAATAGAGATAATATCTTCGGAGGGCTGTTTTAGAAACTTATTTACATAAATGTCTAAATTTTTAAAAATTTACACTTTTAGATTTATGCAGTTAGGATTTTAATTTAATTCCATATTTATCCCTATTGATTGCACGTCCTTGTATAAAAACATATTGAATATATAATATACCCGATGTAACATAGACTAAACCTTATGAGATATAAAATTTATCTGATGTAAATCTTTAACGGTATATATCCAATAGATTTTTAATTCTGAATCACCATCAGTATATATCGACATACATAAATCTTGAGATATAATATATATCCTTATCTAAACATTATATATCACCACACATACGTTACTCATAACAAACGAATAAAGAAAAATATACTCGTATATACCAATGTAATACCAAAAGTCCTATGTAAACTTGAGATATATTATATATCCTATTACATTTTCCATAGAAATTGTTTCACCGTTATATATGGAAATATTTTAATCTAGATATATATTATATATCCTAATCAGTATGACTATATTATATATATTCAAATATACACTGTTATAAAGGATAATAGCAGATAGAAAGAGATAATGGGAACCAAAAAGTAGCAGATTCTGTCAAAAAAAGA